TTTGTCTAAAGCCTTGGATAACCAATCTGGATTTATACTTATCAATTGTGCCATCCACCTTCATTTTTCTTTTGAGGATCCATTTACATCCTAATGCCTTGCAACCAGGAGGTAAATCAGCCAATACCCAAGTATTGTTATGCATAATAGAATCAATCTCATCATGAATTGCCTCTTTCCAGAAATGAACATCCCTAGAAGCCATAGCTTCATTGAAAGTCTTTGGATCCTCTTCAATATTAAAACAATATTGATGTTGAGAAATAGTTTCATTCCTTGTTCCTTCAACTAAATATAGTTGAAAATCAGATCCAAAAGACTTAGCTTTTCTAGCTCTGGTGCTTTTCCTAGGTTCAGGTACAGAAGTTGCACCACTAGAAACATCTTCAGCTTGAGTAATACTCTTGTTGGAAGATTGATGAATCATGTCCCTTGGTCTAGGTATAGATGTAAATCTTTCTTCATCAAAGATAGCATCTCTTGACTCTATCACTGTGTTTATAGACACAGAGTCATTAGATTCTAAGACATAGAATCTATATGCTTTGGAATGCTCAGCATATCCAATAAAGATACAATCTATACCTCTCTCACCCAAAGTTTTCCTTTTGGGTTCAGTGAGCCTTACAACTGCTCTACAACCCCAAATTTTGAGATAACTCAAATTTGGTACCTTTTTACACCAAAGTTCATAAGGAGTATTCTTACTCCTTTTATTTGGAGTTCTATTCAAGATGTAACATGTAGTTAACATTGCCTCACCCCAAAACCCTTCACTTAAGCCAGAATATGACAACATGGAATTAACCATTTCTTTTAAAGTCCTATTCTTCCTTTCAGCTACACCATTTTGTTGTGGTGTATATGGAGTTGTGGTTTGATGTATTATTCCAGTCGATTCAAAATAAACTGGATCATAATACTCACCACCTCTATCAGTACGCAATACTTTTATTAATTCATTTTTATGAAGCTCAACTTATTGTTTATAAATTTTAAATTTATCAAGTGCTTCATCCTTAGAATGTAGCAAATAGATATAACAATATCTAGATGCATCATCAATGAAAGTAACAACATACTTCTTGTTTCCAAGGGAAGGTGTTGCATGGAAATCACATAAATCACTATGTATAAGATCCAACACCTTGCTTTCCCTAACAACATCTTTGAAAGGTTGTCTAGTGATTTTAGTTAGCATGCATGTTTTACATTTTTCTTTATTTTGCATATCAAAAGCAGGAATTAAACTCATTTTAGACATGTCTTTTAATCTCTTATAATGAATGTGTCCTAGTCTAGCATGCCATAATTCAAAATTTGTAAAAATTATTGCTAGTACTACTAGAAGCCATGCAAATAGAATTATCACTAGAAGGATAATTAATATTAAGCCTAATCATTCCATTACATACATATCCAAATCCTATAAAAGAACCATGTCTTGACAAGATATACTTGTCACTTTCTAACACTTGTTTGTAACCACAATTATTTAATACAATTTCAGACACGAGATTCTTACGAATCCCTGGAACATATAAAACATTGTTTAAACACAAACATTTCCCAGAAGTAAAAGTAAGTAAAACAAAATCCTATGCCCTTGATTGGTTCAGTTGCAACATTTCCCATCTTCACAACAGATCCATCTTCAATTGGTTGAAAGTCATTGAACCAATATAGATCTTTGCAAACATGACTTGTTGCTCCCGAATCAACCCACCATGCAACTTTATCATCCTGCACATAAAATGCTTCAGAAATCACAGAAATATAATTCTGAATATATTTAGAATTCTGCAATGAAACAGAAATCTGACCTTGTTGCTTTTCTGGATCCTTGGATCCACTTGGTCCAGCACCATCCTTATTCACTTTGCGAAGACGACAATCTTTCTTGAAGTGACCCGGTTTGTTACAATTCCAACAAACCAACTTAGCCTTCTTGTTGGAAGACTTGTCATCCTTTCCTTTAAACTTCCTTTTTCCATTAGACTTCTTGGGATTCTTTGAACTTTCTCCTTCCACCATGTTCACAGAAGAGGAACCAACTTGGTTCTTGCCTTTAGGATTGTTATCAAGTTCTTGAGTCCTTAAGGACTCTTCAATCCCTAAATGACTTCCAAGTTGAGTCAAAGTTAATTCCTCTTTGTTATGTTTTAGATTATGTTTAAAATCTTTCCAGGAAGGGGGCAGTTTGTCAATTATCACAGCCACAACAATGGCTTCATCCATTTTCAGATTGTGTTGAACAAACTGTCCTAGGATCCTTAACATTTCATGGAATTGTTCCATAACAGGCCTGGAGTCAATCATCTTGTAACCCATAAAATTACTGACAAGAAACTTCTTGCTAGAAGCATCTTCAGCCATGTATTTGGATTCAAGAGAATCCCAAAGTTCTTTTGCAGATTCGAAATTTTGATAGATATCAAAAAGAGAGTCAGACATACCATTGAGAATATGACCACGACATATGTAATCATCATTTTCCCACTTTGATCTCCTTCTTGTTCCCTCCAAAGGTTCATATTCAACAGATTCTGGTAAGACTGGCATGGGTGTACTAAGAACATACACCACTTTCAGAGTGGTAAGGAGAAAGTGCATCTTCTTCTGCCATCTACGAAAATCTTGCCCTTCAAACTTGTTCAATTTGTTAAACTTGCTTGTCATATCCTTCACAGAATCACCACTTGCCATGATTACAGAATACTTCAATTTTTGTTAGAAAAAGGGATGAATAGATTGCTTGGATTCTCTGAAAGTCGTGATTCACTATCAAATTGAAGTATTTCGATGGTACAGATCGAACACTCAATTGGATGAAATTCAGAGAATGAAATTTGAGAATATATATGAAAATGTTCTTCAACATATACCAGAATATTGACCAAAAAACGGATATATCAATCCTGTCTGAAAACTATCAACAGACAGTTACAAACTGTCATAAAACTACCAAACTGTCATTAAACGGATGTCATGGAATAAAGGGTCAACTTTCTAAAATTGGATTTTTGATGCAATTTTTAATATAGCAACATAGTCCAAACGGATGTCATGGAATAAAGCTCGATCCCAGCCAGGGGCTCTGCCCCTTGGACCCCGTCAGGGGCTGCCGCCCCTGGGACCCCGCTCCCAGGGGCGCTGCCCCCGGACCCACGTTCGTTTAGGGGCTTCGCCCCTAAATAGCAATGTACTTTAAATCTTGAAAAACCTGAACAAGTGTGCACTCCTACACCATCCTAACTTGTTCAATATTCAACAAGATCACTTTTGGTCAACAAATTTAATCCTATTACACTTAAATAATATTTGATGATATAAAATCACCAACATTTTGTGCAAGATTGGTAGGTGGTGGGAGCTCACACTTCCTAAGGTTACTTTGATTTTTTGAGTTGTTATACATCTTGGGTCGACTCATTGAGGACGACTGCGTCCTAGAGAGCATGTTTGGATGTGGTTTGCATGGTGTTTTTTGGGTGCTATAGAACAACAAAGGCACAATACTTTTGATTAAATTGTTTCGTTTTTGTTGGATTGATCATAGAAATTCCTCAATTATGTTCTTTGTTTACAAACTTTCTAGGTCTTAGCTCGTTTATAAAATTCAGCCATTAAAAAGGTTTAATTAAATTATTGTAATCTCAAAATTACTTGCTGTATGTCTCGAACTTACTTTTATATTCGAAATCGAAGTCAAAATAAAAATTCGACTTTACCGACGTGAATGAAGTTCCCATTAAAATAATGATTATAAAATTTGGAGTGCATTTTGTAAGTGAATGGAAAATTCTACACCAATTGTTCTTGAATGTCGACAAGTGGCTCTTATATTATAGTTTTATATACAGGCTAATAACATAAACAAAAACATTATATTTTATTAATTTTTTCAGTTTAAATCATCTTCCAAAAAAATCCCTTCGATTAAAATTATATCATTATTATTTATTTTGGAACGACATACATTTTATTAAAAAAACTAGCAAAACACAAAGAACATTACACTAAAGTAGAAGATAAAACAAGATTATGGAGCCAAGAGGTCGAAGCCAATCTAACTTTTTTACGACTATTAGAAATCATAAAATAATGCCTATCAATGACGTAATCAAAAATTAAAGATTTCTAGGTAAAGTCAACCTGAAAAGAATGGAATTCTGAAAACTCCAAAGGCTCCAAAGCGAATTCCACAATACAAAGCCTTCCTTTGCCCACCTGTCATCATGACCGTATTCAGCCAAGAAATCAAAGAATGCATATCGGGTCGGGAAGACCAACACCCCACCATATAACGATATGAGTCCACAACTTAATAAGATCACTACATCCTGTAAAAAGGTGATCAACCGTCTCAACTGAATGAGAACAAACTGGGCTCATAATCATATTCACATCAATAAATACCCTTGTAAGACAATCTCTCTCTAGTAGGGATACAATATAACCGCAGCCGCCAAATACATATATATTCACTTCGATAGGAATGCAATTATCCCAACGAATCTCCATAGCTCCCGAAAACACACTCCTAGAAAAACAGCCTTTAACGACGTGCAAACCACGACATGCGCTGATTTATATTACGCAAAAGAGAGTGATCTTAAAATAGTGTCATCTCTTCAAAAAATTTAATAATTTACGTCACGCATTATTGTGTGCCCTTAGATTAGTGTCTAAAGAAAAAAAATTAAAAATACGGAGGGTACTTTTTTTAAACGCGCGTCCTCTGTACCTGTCGCTTTATAATTTTAATGAAACGCGCGTTTAGACGGGAAACGAAATCCCCAAATTTTTGAAAACCCGCCTTCTACCTTTTTTCTATCATTCATCTTTTAAATCGACTCTCCCATCTCGGTCCATCTCTTTCCTCTCCGATCCGCTTCTCCGCTACTCCTGACCTCCTTCTTATCAGTCTCATCAAACATCTCGTTCCTCACCTTTGTCGTTGACCACTGGTCCTTCCCCATCGGCCATGCTCCTACCGAATGATCATATCTCCAAGAACAATCGGTGGTGTCTATCTACTTTTCTTCTCCTGTTTTTGCACCCTGAAGATGATGACGCTTTTGAAGCTGTTTTCTGCACCTCTATATCATCAGTATTACAACCCTCCTGGGTCAAAATCACTGATTATTGGATCGATTGTGATTTGTCTTTTTAGGGTTTTTTTTTCAGAAGAGACTGGAGGTCCTATACTACCAGAAAGATCAGAGCTTTTTGATGATGATAAACGGACCCATCCACACTCATTCTGTTATCTACTGAAGTTAATCTTCTTTCATTCTGCTGATATTCTTAGAAAAGAACCAGAGCACGAAACCTTTGTAAGGCTGAGAATCATCCCATCTGGTAATCTTCTCTCTCTCTCTCTTTCTCTCTCTCTCTCTCTGTCTCTCTTCAATTTCATCTACACAGAAACACATACATACACACACAAGTATATGAAAAATGAATAATCCTCCCATAAAAATGGCAGTTTGTTGAAGATTACTCTGAGTGGGAGTCGTCGGTACCGATCGCCTTTAGAATCATTCATGCTAAATTCATCAATTGGGAACCTTCTACAGAATGGATCGGTGCTTGTTGACATCTCATTGGTTGATGAGAAATTTACAGCTCAAGGTACCTGCTATGGCTGTATATAGATCTTTCCAAAGTTGTTTGAGTATCATTTTTAGACTACAAGAACTCAATTGATTTTACCTTGTTTCCAGTTTAGTGTGATGCATGTGATCATATATTTATAGTGTTTCTATGTGTGATATTCACTCATTGAGGTGTATAAGTGTTTCAGTTGCATTAGTTTAGTTAACAGAGACACAATAGGTGAAACTGAGGTTGACTTTTGTTTGTGTTGCAAACTAGTGGTACCGATATGAAAGTTCTTGCAGAAAGAGCAACAAAGTCCAAGAAACTCAGTATACATGTCTTAATGTATATGGGATTGTAGTTATTATTTATTATCTAAGAGAAGACAAAATCATTATCCTATAGGTTAAAGAGATCAATTACTCAGGGGCCAGGGGCTGCCTACATCTTACTTCTTCCCTTCCATTTAAACCATTCATGTGAGATGTAGGTATTGATATTGATATTTATTGATAGAGATAAAATAATTTTTCATAGTAATGGGTAAGATCATATTTATAGTATACTAATTTCACTACTTCTATTATCTTAAATGTGTAGATTTACTCCCCTGCACCTTGTGCACCAAGGCAAAGAAACAGAAGAACGGGAAAGAAAGATGAAGCTAGTTGATTTAATTGTGGCAACACCTGGAAGATTAGTTGATTTACTTGAAAGGGCAAAAGTGTCATTACAAATGGTAAGGTATTTAGCTCTTGATGAAGCTGATCGTATGTTGGATATGGGATTTGAGCCTCAAATAAGAAAAATTGTGGAACAAACAGACATGCCTCCACCTCCTGGAATACAAACAATGCTTTTCAGTGCCACTTTTCCTAGAGAAATCCAGGTTTTTAATTTTATTTTATTAATTTGAATCATTTTAATATATAGTTTTTTAATTTATATAATGTTTTCCTGCTACTACAATTCATGGAGACAAAACACAACCGGTAAAAAAAATTAGAGTTATAGTTAAAAAAATGAATAAAAGTTAATTTCTAATTTTTGTTTTTTATTGATAGGAAAGGGAGTTGGCATTGAGGTCATTTAAGAGTCGGAAGACTCCAATTCTTGTTGCTACTGACGTGACAACATGTGGGTTGGAGGTGATTGATGTTGGCTCAAGGGCAGTTTGGTCATTACCGTAAGTGGAGTTCGAGATTATAGCATATGTTCATGTCTTATAAAATAAAAATCTCCAATGGTTGTGGAACAATATTTATCTCTTTGGTTCAGGTAAATATCTACAAGATTTATGCTATGAAAAAAAACATGTTTGTTTGGATCAAGGGGTAAAGTGTAAGTTCTCATCGTTTTTGCAGTTTAGAAATGCTACAAATAAACAACTTCAAAGTGGATTCGATCATATTCCTACCACATGTTCGATAAAATGTAAGTTCTCATCATTTTTGCAGTTTAGACATAGCTGTGAAGTGGATAGAGTAATGATGGAAGATGTTAACATTTTTTTCTTGATGTCTGCTTTGTGCCTTGTAAGGATCCATACATATGAAGTTAAAGGTTAATGATATTTTACTTGTTTGTAATAAAATATCTATTGAGTCACCGAACAAATTCTTATTTCCATATATGATTGTAAGATGTAGGGATGAGCATAGGCGGGTACCCGGCCTAATTGTCTGGAACCGAAACCGGAACCGCCAGTTCTTGAAACTTTGGAACCGGAACCGGAACCGCCGCACCGGTTCCGATACCGGGTACCCGGTTTCTAATTAAGTTTTGTAAAATGAAATCAATAAAAATTATAAGACTAACAATCTGTCGTGAATTAAAAAGTATTTGTGAGTGGTTATTAATAACCATTATTAATTCACAAGCAACAGATTGATATATATATATATATACATATATATATATATATATATATATATATATATATATATATATATATATATATATATATAGTACTCTTCTCGTATTCACTTTTTATTCTTGATTTTGGCAGCTATATATGAGTTGAAATAGTATGGGAAAGAAATTTAAAAACCATTATGTTGTTATAAAATTAGTAATAATGCATACACTCGGGTCCAACTTCATTGACATTATAAAATTCAGTTATTAACAAACTCTGACTCCACATCACTACACTAGCTTTTCAAAAGCACTGAAGGGTCCTCTGTGCTACTAGAGGACCCTTCTGTCAAAACATTCAAACTGTTGCAGTAGTCTAGATTCCTTCAAAGGGGGGTTTTGAATTGAAATTCTGGTCAAAACTCAAAAGTCAAACAGAATTATTTGGTGGCAGTGTTGCTAAATCATTCCAGCAATACAGAAACTTTATAACGTTTGCAGCTGAAGGAAATGCCTTCAAGGACAATGTAGAGAAGCTGGTAAGATTCTTGAATATAATTTTCAAGTTATTACCCCATGAGCTCGTACTGCATTGACTTAACTCCTTAAGTACTATATGTATGTTCATTTAAAGTGATTATTAGTTTATTACAGTTTGCTATTACTAATAAATGTTTTCTTTTGTAAGTTACTTCATTCTATAACTCCTCATATCCAACCATTTAAATGCAAAATATGTTACAACTTTAACTCCAATTGTTAGATATCATCAACCGAAGATAATATATTGATTTGAAGACAAAAAACAATTCATGAAAAGGGTTGAATTTGTACATTTAGAATTCTTATTTTTTTCTTGTGGAGTAGGACCTTGTGATTATTATAAGCAATGAGGATTATTGCGGTTGCATTGTCACCTGCTGCACCAAATTTGTTGTTAACATTTGGGCATTAGGAAATCATGGTACCCGTGATTTCTATGTTCCCTGTGTTTTTTCTGTTTAGGAAGCAAACACAATTAGTGCTTTACACATAAAGTTGACAAAATGTTTATGCATAGAGTGATTGTATTCAAGTCTATGTTAAAAGGCTGGGGATTACATTTGTTAAGCACCTTTTTCTTCATATGAGTTCAATAACCTACAATAATTTAGAATTCATATCATTAATATAATACTTCCCTATATAGAAAAATTCTTTAATTATTGACCATTATAACGAATGAAATACAGTAAGAAATTTTCCTTAATCGTCTTAAATGACTTGAAGTTTATATGTTAAAGTCTATTTTAATGACTAATCCATCTTTTTTCATCACTTTCAACAAGCTAAGAAGCACAACATATACAGGGAAAGAATCATATACAATTATCAAGTAATATATTTGATATATATTTTATATTTTATATGTTGTATAATCAGCAATCACTGATTTCCTTTTCCTTGGTTTTCAGCCTCTTCATAGAGAACTATATGAACTGAATCCCTCAAGCTTCTTTGTGCCCTCTTTCATAAACGCATTCATGGCTAATGATGATGTCAGTAGAAATCAAAGTATCAGAAACATAATGTCTGAACTTGTTTCAGGAGTTTTCACATTCGATATGCTCCACCCAGATTTCTGTGCAAAGATGCTAGCTAAGGTGATACTAATAGTCTTCTATTTCTATTTTTTTTTTATATACTTTACTTTTTATATTCTCTTATCAAATTCTAATTTCTTAGGTTGAAAATTACGAAAAGTGGATTCTAGAAACAAAATCATCCACCATTCGCCTAAACACCATGAAAAAATACCAGATACTAACAAATGACATGGTGCTAATAGTCTAGAAGTTGTTGTTGTTCGTGTCATGGCCCTGTGATGGGTGCTGTTGAAACCAGAATGTATGAACAAGGAATATGAGGTTTTGTAACACACAAGTTTTGGGAATGTGGGCCACACAACAATGATTTTACCTTGTCTATTGTTATATATGTGCCCCATAGGTTGTTTTTTTGCTGTTTATAAAATATTTTTATTTAATATGTATATAGATTTTTTTCCGGTATAACATTTTTTGAACATGTGATGGTTACAGGGATGCTGTAGTTTCTGCTATTATTTTCCATCCAAGTCGTGTCATGGCTCTTAGTGCTTCTTATGGTGTTGATTTCAAGTAAAGTTTTTTAATTTATTTTATAATTGTGAATCTATGTTTGTATAATTAATTGTTGTTTGTGGCTTTGTTTGTTTGGGTTAGCAATGGTGAAGATAAGTTGATTTAGAGGAGCAGATGTAAATGGGCATGAAATGATGTTGGTTCATACAGGAAGAAAGTTATGACTGATGTTGCATTAAGTGAAACAGGTAGGCACGTTACACAAATCTCAAGTAACTAAAGGTAACCACCAACTACATTATTCATTTTGTTGCTAGATCCAAATACCAAATTTACAAATGTATATCTGTTGTTGCTTCTTAAATTTCACTTTATGTTTTATGCGTTTAAGCTTTAAAATCCAAATGGAACATTGTTAAAAAGGATGCAACTCAAGATAATTGAAGGTAATTGAGTTAACTGGGATAAATGCAAAAAATAGCAGGGTACTTTCATTTATTTGTTTATTATAGCATCCTACTTTCAATAGTTTTTTTATGAAGAGATCATACTTTGAAAAACCTACAAAATTATAATATTGTAATTAATGAACTAATGATACGAACAAATATATGAACTAATATTGGAGTTCCTGCTGTTGGCATGGCGTTCCCTGGCTACGTTACTCAGCCCAATGGAATGGGGAATTCAGAAATGACATGGTACTTTAAATATATATATATATATATATATATATATATATATATATATATATAAGTAAATAAATATTTAAGATAATAATAGTTAGGTGATTAAATGGTTAAAATTGTGAAATTTTGTTGTAGGCTACCTATTTTGGGTGGTGCTGCTGGGGCTTTTGGTTGCTTCACCTTATATCACAATGGATGGTGCTTATCATGCTATGCCATCTAGCCAGACCTCTGCATTGCCTCCTACAAGGTCTGTTACTTGTTATTATGATTAACGATTCTGAGGGTATTTAGGTCATTTACTCAGAATTTTGCGTTTTCAAGTTTACTAGTAGATCACACTTGCTTGGCTAAATGTTATTTTGTATGCTTTCAAACTTGTCTTCTTCCTGAATTCTTTTTCTTTGTAAGTTTAGCCTTATTCTTTTCTTCAATTAAGTGTTGTCTGGAGAGTGTTGTATGAACAACAATAAATCAACATTTTTTTCCTTCTTTTTCTTGTATGAACAATACATAGTCATAGTTTGACTTAATTAGTTGCTTATTTTGTTTATTAGTTGCTTGTTTTCTAGCTTATTATAGTCACTGATTGGTTTCTTGTTATGCTTAAATCTTAACAGCTATCATGGCAACCTTCAACAGTAGTTTTGGACAGGCACCTTCTTGCAAAAGATATCGTGTACGATTTCTTCTGCTGCTATTGTGGATTCGGGAACATCCATGCTTACTGGTCCAACTGTATGTATCTCACGTGAAGCTTCTGCTAGAATTATTAATCTTAGAGATTTCAAGTTTTTCATATTTCTTGTATCTAATTAGTTTGTAAATTTTCGTTATAACTTTTATTGATTTGTTTTATCTTTCCATGGAACGATTATTTGTATGACATTATATTTTGTGCAACGAATTGTATTTTTGTATATATGATATTTTATTTATTAAGTGACATTAAATGAAAATTTAATTCAAAAATTAGTAAATCTAGAAAAAAAATGTTTTTTTTAAAACATATAAAATACGATACGCAAAAATGTGTGTCATTTTCATTTATGACATGGCCTTTCTTGACAGGGGCTTCCTTGATACGCAATGCGTGTCATAAACAAGCACGTCGTAAGGTTACGACATGCAAATGCATGTCGTCTTCCTTTATGATAGGGCCTTCCTTGATACGCATTGCGCGTCGTAAATGAGCGTCGTAAATGCGCGTCGTCTATAGACGACGCGCAAAAGCGCGTCATCTCTCTTTATGACATGGCCTTCCTTGACGCACATTTGCGCGTCGTCTGAGTGTTTTACGACGCGCAATGAGCGTCGTAAAAGGCTGTTTTTCTAGTAGTGACAACACCCCACTATCCAAAAGGCTCTAGCAGAATAGACTGAAAGGGAATCAAAGACATCAACTAACCAACCAAGTCTATCCGGTTTACTATGCAACTAAAGATCTTGTAATAACCTAGTGAATTCATCCCTTTGAGTCTGTTCAACACCTCCCTTAGAAAAACATCCACTACTAGAAAACTAAGTAATTAGCTACAACATAATTGGTAGTAAATCCGTAGGAAAAAGGCGTTACCTACAGATTTCCTACAAAAAACGGGTTGTAGGAAAAACCCTCGTGGGTAATTTTTTCCTACATATTAGCTACAAATGTTCCTACGCATTACCAACAGAATATTCTGTTACAAATGTAATTACGGAATACCTACGGAACACGTTAACTACGGAGTACTTACAGATTACCTACGGGTTATTTAGCTACGAAACTCATACAAAATACATACAGATTATTTTCATACGGAATACCTGCGAAATGGTTTTCCTACAGAATACATACCAACTACTTTACCTACGGATTACCTACAAACTGCTTTTCCTAAAGAATACCTACCAACTACTTTACCTACAAATTACCTACGAACATATTTTCCTACAAAATACCTACAGATTTTATTGGATTTTATTTCGTACCGAATACCTACTGAATATTTATTTCCTACAAATTTTCTATGAATTTTTTACCAGTTTTTATTACTATATTAAATTTATAATTCCTACCTAATATTTATTTCCTACAATTCAGCCAAAAATCTATTGCTATGTTAAATTTATAATTTAAAAAGTATCCAAATTTTCTACTAACAAAAACCAAATAAATAATTAAAATAATAGTCAAATACCATTACATTCATTACCATTAAAATAGTCACTAACATGCCATTCATACATTCAAATACTCAAAATACCATTACAATACCATTACAAAAACTAAGAACTACTCAATAACATAACATTAATTTAGTGTTTTAAAAAAAAAACTAAGAACTACTTGGTGGATTCCCGGACAGATTGATTTGTTTCATAAAGGCCGCTAATTGTCATTGCACTTGCAATTCCATTTCATTTCGCATTTGTTGCATTGATAATTCATTTCCCTTTGCTTTTCTTCCATGGCTTGTTCCATGTTTGACATTTATTATCGCAACTCATTTACCTAAATATAGCAAGACAATTACATGCGGTTAGTAAATGTAATTCAACTTTAAACCATGATAGTAATGTACTTTACTTTTAATTCAATATAAAAACATATTATTGATAATAACAATGTACATTGTTTTTAATATTCATAATAATAACTTTTAATATGCTTAATAACATACCACAAATGAGACAAATTAAATGAAAATTGATAGTTCAAAATCATAATCATTAATGCCTTTTTTTTGAAGCAGTTATTAATTTAGATACTTATCCGATTAACTTTATAAAAATTGATTCAAATTAATAAAAAAATAAAAGATGTTATAAGAAAAAAAATATGTTTTACAATTAACAAATAAAAATGTTATAAAAAATTAACATACTGGTATAAATTCCTAATTAATGAGTGGTAAAGGAAAATACATATAATGACATTTTAATATATGGTTAAGTAAATATGACAAATCAATTTTATGCCATCGAATATTTTTTAAGTTAAAAAATTTCTTTCGTATCTGTTTGGAAAATAAATGGATTGAATTATATAAATATTTTTATTAACAATCATGTAAAAAATATGAAAAAAATGGATTGTTTTTATAATTACATTAAAACATATACATAAATTTAAATTAACTATGTCACTTTTTCTTCAGCTATTAATATTAATAATAAATTTCACAATTAGTACCGTAAACATATGCACTCCATAGTTGTTTTGGTTGAGATTTTGTTAACAAATAAATGGTATAAAATAACTAATTCACTTTGAAATCTTTATTCATTTTCAATATTTCCTAAATTAACAAATAAATATTAAATAACTAATAGCTGAAATCTTTATTCATTTTTATTTTCAATATTTCCCAAATACTTAAACTCTTAAAACTAATAAAATAACAATAAATTGAAATAATAATGAAAATATCGTATATTTTTGGAGGTAGAATTGTCAAAGGTTTGACAGTTGCTGAATTTATCTACATTTTTGGAGGTTGGTGTCAAATAAAACTATGAAAACTATTGTGTCAAATAAAACTGTGAAATGTGAATTTGGGACAGGGGCAATTCGGTCTTTTTTGTCTATAATTTTTTTTGTGTTAATATAATTCTATGGCTACTGAAATACACATCAACTTCTAAATAATCCAATTTGTGTGTTTGTGTGTTTCCCTGTAATATGTTGTCTATTAAACAATCCAATTAAAAGTCAATAATTCATTCCTTAAATCAAGTTAATAATACGCTGAAAAATTGAAGATTTGCAAAAGTTTGAGCAAATTGAAATCACAATACATACCCGCAGGTGCCGTTGGGGCAGCGAATGCAACTACGAAACAATACTAGCAGCAACTGAGGCGTCTAGAGGCGATAACATCTGCGACGACTAGGGTTGGCCATTAGTTGCCAACGAACGGATGGCGGCGGCAGCGAATGCATTTCCCACCGTTCCAGCGCAACAGGGGTAGCAGCCTCGGTGTTTTACGACCCACGATAGTTTCTTGTCCCCGACAGACGGCTGGATGGTCGCCAGATTGCGAATGAATGCTTGAATGGCGGTCTTCCAAGCGAACGACGGCAACACGCACCCAACTTCATTCCCCGGTGCTAGGATGGACACGAGGTGGTTGCTCTGGTGGTTCGAGGCTCCAACTGTGGTGATGCGCGACTCGGTGGAGGAAGGTAGCGGAACCCGAAGTTGAGAGAGCAATGGTGGCAGCTGAATGCCTCATTAGGTTTAGGGTTAATTAGGGTGTGGACGGGAAGGAAACGGTTATACCCGGATCCTTAAACTAGTTCCCATATTAACACATGTAGTCCCTCTCTTTCTTTTTCTTTCAAAACAAAACCCTAATTTACCCTTTACACCCTTGATTTCAATAATCCTTTTCATTACAAGTCCAACATTTACAAAACAACCCCTTTCTCTATAAATTATTCTCAATTAAGATCTGTAAATTACCATTAACCCCTCCTTCTGAAAATCCTTACAATTCAAGTCCAAAATATAATGATGTTGTGAAAAAAAAATGTAACGATAAAAATGACATTAGACCCTTGAAAAATATAAAATAAAAAAAAAAAAAAACTGTTGGTAATCCGTAGGTAATCTGTAGCTATTTACCTACGGATTACCTACATTTTTTTTTTTCTATTTTTGAAGGTGTAATGTCGTTTTTTTTTTTCGTTTCATTTTTTTTCCAGAACATCATTATACTTTGATTGCTTTGTTTTCAAAAAGTTATACATCATAACGTATGTAGAAGAATGTGAATCATTAGAACTCATTACTATATATGATTCAAAAAACTATTTATGTTTGTTCTTGACCCACAATTAACCTCATTAAACAAATACATAATACTCACATATCTTTTGTACATAAATGTGTGTATTTATTTGTATTTGTATATAGAAACTAATTTTCATTTATATTATATAAAAAAAAATTGTAAATAAGTAGTGGGTTCTAACGATCCATATCTGTGTATGTAAGTTTATGTTATGTATAAGTTGTTGAAAACAAAACAATCAAAGTATAATGATGTTTTGAAAAAAAAATATAACGATAAAAATGACATTAGACCCTTGAAAAAATAGAAATAAAAAAAAAATTGTAGGTAATCCGTAGGTAATACCTACGGATTACCTATCCGTAGGTATTTACCTACGGATTACCTACGTTTTTTTTTCTATTTTTAAAGGTGTAATGTCTTTTTTTTTTCATTTAATTTTTTTTATAACATAATTATACTTTAATTGCTTTGTTTTCAAAAAGTTATATATCATATAAACGTATGTAGAAAAATGTGAATCATTAGAACTCATTATTATATATGATACAAAAGGCTATTTATGTTTGTTCTTGAGCGACAATTAACCTCATTAAACAAATACTTGATATACTGAACATAATACATACATATCTTTTGTATGTAAATGTGTGTATTTATTTGTATTTGTATATAGAAAATAACTTTCATTTATATTATATAAAAAAAGAATAATAAAGTTGTAAATGAGTAGTTGGTTCTAACGATCCATATCTTTGTATGTAAGTTTATATTATGTATAAGTTGTTAAAAACAAAACAATCAACGTATAATAATGTTTTGAAAAAAATGTAACGATAAAAATGACATTAGACCCTTGAAAAATAA